CACTATCAAGGAGTGCGCACAGAAAATTAAATCAAAAAAATATTTAACTCATGTCGCTCGACATCAAATGGAAATACTTCTACATTGGATAGAAATTCAAACAGTACGATTGATGCAGCTGAGATAGAGGCAGGCAACGGTGTGCTGCACACGCATTGTCTTCGCGCTCTACCTGACACCGACTACATCAATTCCAGAGATTCTCATACACCCAAGCGCACTGATGCCTTGTGGGAAGAGGAGGAGGGTTCGCTTAGAGAGTTGCTGTTAAGCCTTCTTCCTACCTTTAGCAAAATCATAAGCAGGATCTGTTAACGAACTCCTATGCGGTACTTCATCCAGGTCCTTTAAAAACCCATTGAAGATGGCACCCAGGTGCGATGTCTGCTGTCACTGATCCCAATGAATGCAGCCAGCTCATGGATATCCCCGGAAGAAGAGTGCGCTCCAGCGAGGTCGCGCTACGCGGCAGTCCGACTAGACGGGGGTGGCCACACGCGCAGACACACGAGTCACAAGAGAGATGAAGCAGAGCCAGGGAAGTCACTGTTCTCATGAGTACATCCTCGGGTGAGCTTAGACAGAGGGCGAGCAAAGACGAACACTGCCGAGGTGTTGCCATTCAAACATATGTTTTATCAGAGACCAGCCTCACAGTCTCTACTTAGACAAATTGCATCACAACAAGAAAACTGCTAGAGTCAGTGAGCTGTGCTGCAGCAGATCCCTTCATTCTTCTAGACTCTCAGAAACAATCCCCAATAGTCCTCTTCTGGCTCCTCCTCTTGAGACGGCTCTTACCTGTACACTATACAGCGAATGAGCCCGCGTACCATTCGTACGTCAATCGTGTTCAGGCAATGCCCAAATTCTTGCTGCCAAGGTGGTCAGTGCCCGACCCTGGGAGGCTGTAGGCACAGTGCTGGCTATTCAGTAACTCCGACGCAGTCTGGGCTCGAGCTGGGTCATGTCATCGACCGGCGTCGTATGATCCAGCAGCACGCTGAGGGGGTGGGACTTCGGCTATGGCCCTGTCTGGGTAAACACAGAGCGACAAAGCAGCCAATCTAATCTCCGGGGCGTTCCTGCAGGAGGAGGAACGAAGAGAGAGAGGCGAAGAAGAAAGCCGGTAGGAGCTCATCAGCTCAGAGAAACAAGAGGTTAGATGAATCTGAAGCATGGAAGACGAAGATCGCAGACGTCCGACCGAGGCTGAAACCACGGCCACTCAGCCTCTAAGCCCTCGCGGCAACCCCGCAAGGAGATGACTCCTGTCTGCCCAAAAAAAAAAAAAAGAACAAAAAGAGAGACGAGGAGCACACCCTTGGGCTGGGCACGCGGCGCTTGGCTTGCGTCTGTCCTGCCCAGCCCCTCGCTGTTGGGACGGCCCGGGTGCGGACTGCGGTCTATGAGCCGCGCGTTCCCCGCCGTACGCAGCTGGGCCCCGACACTCGCCGCCCGCCCCTGTCATCCGCTCGTCTGCTTACAAACCTGCACCGTGGGCGGGGGTGTGGTGGCGCGGGTGGCCTGTACTCCGCTGTCCGCGAGGCTGCTGGGGACCCCCCGGGCTGAACGCCAGGAAGGCCACTCGCGTTTTAGGCCAGTGGAGTTCGAGCTTGCTCGTGAGGGGCGCGAGGGCTGCCGCCCCGGCACTCCTCTAGCCTGGCGACAGAGTGGCCTGTCTCCATAAAACCACAGTCCCGGGGAACGGCACCGCGCTCGCCGGCCGTCGCACCTCCGCCGGCGGCCAGGCTGGTCGCCAGAGGAGGGACGGGCCGCCCGCCCCATCCCCGCCCCTCTGCCGCGTCCTGCGCGAGCTGGTCACCGCACCCGTCCAGTCGCCCCGCGCGTGGTGAGCCTCTTGCAGCCACGGCGTCCATGTGATGTCAACGACTCGAAAGCATACTCCACAGCCGACAGCCAGTCCTCGCACACGAGAACCCTGGTCGGCCGGGGCGACAGCGGCGTCTGTCGCAGGGCCTTGTCAGGCCGTGTTGTGGCCGCACTTCTCCAGCGTGCCTCCGCGTGGGCTGCCGCCACCCGCCCCGTGGCCCGCGCTGGCAGCCGGGGCGGCGTCGTACTGGCGCAACTCGCCGCCCCAGGCTGGGCCGTCCTCACTGCACTCAGCCTGGGGTGACCCTGTCTCTGCCTTCTTGCTGTTGGAGCAGACCCTGCAGTCACTCTCGCAGAAAGGGATAGCCAAGGGAGACAGCCACGCACTCGAAGCGCGCGAGGTCGTTCACGGGAGCCCTTCTTGTTACTGCGACCATGCCATAGAGAACACCAACTGGCCGTTCACGCGGAGTTGGTTCGGTGAATAATAAACCACCGGGCAGCTGTCAAGAAGGCCCAAGGCAGTTCCGCAGGGAGCAATACTCCAGGCATATTGCCAGATGCAAATTCAAGGTATAACCTCCAGTAACCTGGCCTTAAAAGTAGAGATGTGGCCAGGCAGCGGCGGCTCACGCCTGTCATCCCAGCACTCTGGGAGGCCAAGGCAGGAGGATCGCTCGAGGTCAGGAATTTGAGACCAGTCTGAGCAAGAGCGAGACCCCGTCTCTACTATAAATAGAAAGAAATTAATTGGCCGACTAATATATATAGAAAAGATTAGCCAGGTGTGATGGCGCATGCCTGTAGTCCCAGCTACTCGGGAGGCTGAGGCGGGAGGATGGCTTGAGCCCAGGAGTCTGAGGTTGCTGTGAGTGAGGCTGACACCACGGCACTCACTCTAGCCTGGGCAACAGAGCGAGACTCTGTCTCAAAAAAAAAAAAAAAAAAAAAAAAAAAAAGGGAACATTTAAAAATCAGGTTGAAGAATGTGCTACCACATGTGGCAGCCACAGGCCACACGGGGCTTGAAAAGCAGCTAATCGAAACCGAGACGTGCAATTTGTGTGAGACACACACCAGACTTTGCGGACTAAGCACACACACCAAATTAAATACCTCATTACTTTTTCATATTGATTGCATGTGGAAAGGATAACATTTTAATATACTGGGCTACATTTAAAATATTTAAGATGACAATTTTGCCTTTTTTTTTATGTTTTTAATGTGGCTATTGGAATTTTTTTTTTTTTTTTTGAGAGACGGGGTCTCACCCTGTTGCCCAGGCTGGTCTGCAGTTCTCAAATTGCCAGACTCGAGTGATCCTCCCACGCCAGCCTCCCGGGAGCTGGGGTTACAGGCGTGTGCCGCCACGCCCGCGGAGAACTTTCAATGTTCTGCGAGGCGGACGTGACAGTGTCTCCCGGGTCGTGCCGCTTGAGAACGGGTCCCCGGGCCGAGCGGCTGCTTCCCTCCGCTGCTGGGGGCCCCGCGCGCCATAGGGGCACTGGTGAATGCAAAAAACACAAAACAGCCCCCGACCCGCGGTGGGTCGAACGGCGGGCACTCCCCCCAACAAAAAGGATCTATCCGGGACCTGGAAACTAGGAGTGTCGCCCTATTTGGAAAAAGGTAATTAAGTTAAAGTTTGGTGGTTTTTTTGTTTTTCTTTTTTTTTTTTGAGACAGAGTCTCACTTAGTTGCCCAGGCTAGAACGAGTGCCGTGGCGTCAGTCTCGCTCACAGCAACCTCAGACTCCTGGGCTCCAGCGATCCTCCTGCCTCAGCCTCCCGAGTAGCTGGGACTACAGGCATGCGCCACCACGCCTGGCTAATTTTCTCTATATATATTAGTTGACCAATTAATTTCTTTCTATTTATAGTAGAGACGGGGTCTCGCTCTGGCTCAGGCTGGTTTCCAACTCCTGACCTCGAGTGATCCTCCTGTCTGGGCCTCCCAGAGTGCTAGGATGACAGGCGTGAGTCACCACACCTGGCCTTTTTTTTTGAAACAGAGTCTCATTGCCCATGGCGTCAGCCTCGCTCACAGCAAAGCAACCTCAAACTCCTGGCCTCCAGCGATCCTCCTGCCTCAGCCTCCCGAGTAGCTGGGACGACAGGCATGCACCACCATGCCCGGCTCATTTTTTCTATATATACATTTTTAGTTGGCCAATTATTTTCTTTCTATTTTTTTGTTTTTTTAGTAGAGATGGGGTCTCGCTCTTGCTGGTTTCGAACTCCTGACCTTGAGCGATCATCTAGCCTCAGGCCTCCCGGAGTGCTGGGGTGACAGGCATGAGCCCCCGCACCCGGCCCTTACTCTGACTTCTCATTCCAGGAGCTTTGGAGAGAGCCGGGGCGACCCCCTGCCTGCCGGGGCGGGCATGTGACCCGGGCCTGGCGAATCAGAGCACTCCTTCCTCCCTCCCGCCGCAGCGATTGGTCTGGGCACCAGCGTGTAACCCCAGCTGGCCAATGGGAGCCAGCCACGGAAGGCCACCTGCCACCTGTCTCTGCCAGCGCAAGGGAGGGGACCGCCTGCTGGAAGGCTCTCCCCCCCCCAGTGCAAACTGAAGCCGCCCAAACGGAGGCCGCGAGAGAAGGCAGAGAGCGCTGCACGAGCACCTGAATCAAGCCGGACCTGAATCCCGCGCGCTTTCGTGCCCGAGCGAGTGGCGCCCGCCTCCTGGGCGGTCACCCACCGACCCAAACTGCGTCCAGGGGGTCCCGCGCGTTCGCTTTCCCGCCTCGGCCCCCCCCCCAAAGCTATCCTCATCCCGGCGGATGAGGCCACCCGCCCCGCCCGGCCCGGGCCGCTCACCTGGGGGCTGTGCTTCTCCCACAGCGCGGGGATGAGCCGCTGCACCGTCCTGTACTCCACCGGGATCTCGTACACGTGCAGGTCCACGCTGTCGCCCAGGCCCAGCTTCTCCAGCTCCTGGGGCGAGGAGAGACGGCGCGTCACCGCGTCCCAGCCAGGCTGCAGGGAGCCTGCAGGGAGCCTGCGTCCCCCCACCCCACCCCCGGGGATAGAGAAAGACGGAGCCTGCGGAGGGAAGCGCGCCGCCTCTCCCCCACCTCAGCCACGCTCCGTCTCCCTGCATCCTCTCCCTGGGGAGGCCCAATGGGTTTCAGCCCTGCCCGCCAGACGGAGGGCAGGCCTCTTTTTTTTTTTTTTGGAGACCAAGAGTCTCGGGCTCTGTTCGGCCCAGGCCCCTACGAGTGATGTGCCGTGGCGTGCAGCCCCTCGCCTCACAGCAACCGTCAAATCCTGGCCTCGAAAGCGATCCTCGCTGCCTCCAGCCTTCCTGATGTAGACTGGGACTTACAGGCATAGCGCCACCGCGCCCGCTGCCTCAATTTGGTCGTATATACCTGTTAGTTGGTCAAGGTTAATCTCCTTTCTATTTATATGTGAGGTGACGTGGTGCTCGCTCTTGCTCAGTGCTGGTCTCGAATCCGCTGACCTCGGTCGACCGAGCGAGGTCGCCTGCTCGGCCCTCCCACAGGATATCTCAGGAGACTAGGTGTCAGCCACGCGGCACCCGTACTAATTTTTTGGGCATAGTATGTTTAAGTGTGCTGATATAATTATACTTTTAAGAGCGTAAATCTAATATTATACATATATAGTTAATTATATATTTTCAATATATAGTGTATGTTATATCAATATATAGTAAGCCGAAAAAAATGCAAACTAATCCCGGGCATGTAGGTGGCACATGCTCGTGTATGAGTGCCCAGCAACTCGGGAGCTGAGGGCCAGGAGAATTTACTGAAGTGTTCCCAGAGTTCGCAAAACGCAGCCTGAGCAAGAGGGACCTACCCGTCTACTAATAAATATAGGGAAATTAACTGGCCAACTAATATGATATTAAGTGGATAATGCGGGGGGCGGTGGCGCATGCGCTGTGGGTCCCCGCTATCTCGGGAGGCTCTGAGGTCCCAGGAGGATCGCGTTGATGGCCGCAGGATGTTTGAGGTTGCTGTGAGACGAGGCTGTACGCCTACGTGGCATCCTCACTCCCTAAATGCCTTGGGCAATCAGAGTGACAACGTCTGTCTCTAAAAAAGAAAAAAAAACAACAAAAAAAAAACAAAAACAGAGAGCAGAGAAGATGGAACAAACTATTTTTGTCCAAGGTGAAAAGAACAATCTGTTTTTCCCAGGACAAAAGCCAAGAATATCTGGAGGAAATCCCAAGGAACCCAGCAGTGCAACAAGGTGAGATTCACAGTGTCCGGCATTGAACCAAAACTTGCCGGGCATGCAGACAAGCCGGAAATACCGCCCGTGATGAGGAGAAAAAGCAACGGAAACAAAACCAGAAATGACACAGACGAGGACATGAAGACATGACCCCTCACTGATTCACGGCGGAAGTGACAGAGCACACGTCCACACTCACCCATCTCTACTCTCTTACGCACACACCCATCAGAGAAATCAGGTAGCACTTTCTTTGGGTGGGCGTCTCGCTATGTTGCCCAGGCTGGTCTCGATCTCCTGGGCTCAAGCGATCCTCCTGCCTCAGCCTCCCGAGTAGCTGGGACTACAGGCATGCGCGCCATCCCGCCATTTCTCTAATACTTGTTAGTTGCTCCAGCCAATTCCTTTCTATTTAAGTAGAGACTGTCTCGCTCTTGCCAGCTGGTTCAAACTCCTCACCTCGAGCGATCCACCCCCCCTCGGTCCCAGATGCCGAGGTCACGCCGAGCCACCCGCGCCGGGCCAGACCCCATGTTTTTAAAAAAGAAAAAGGAAAGAATCAAATGACCAAAATAGTACAGTAATAAAAGAAAAAAATAGATAAAAAACTAAAAATCATGGACCCTCATCAAACATAAAGCAACATGCAAGAACTGGAAAAGAAGGAGGCATTTTCCTGTCCGCACACCCCAGGACGGGATGGCCACGGCAGGGGCCACCGCGGGCCGCCGGGCGCCCACCTTCGGCAAGAGCGGACGGGACGGGAGGACTCAAGGCTGCAGAAAACCGGCCATGTGTGATGTTGCGACCTTTGACCCACGTCAATGTTTTACAAGATGAAAAAGGAAAATAAAACGACCCATGGACCCACAGCTACAGACCGGCCTCGTTGCTGTTATTCCCCTAACCGGATCAGGGCAATCGCCTTGAGTCCTATGTGACATGGTGCTTGTTAAATCAGGGGGTGGGGTGGGAATCTGTATTAAGAAAAGCAGGATGTGCACTCTGGGGAGGCCGAGGCAGGAGGATCGCTCGAGGTCAGGAGTCCGAGACCACCCTGAGCAAGAGGGAGACCCCGTCTCTACCAAAAATAGAAAGAGCTGGTCCGATGGTGGTGTTGTCAGACTCTTTACCATCGGTGTCTGTAAAGTTGTATTCAACCCCGCCCGACAACACACACGCTAATTTGACTCGGTTTAAAAAATAATAATAAATAACAAATAAAATAACTCGAAGAATTTATCGGCCACTAAATCGGGCGAGGCAGGTTGCGGTGGTTCCCGCCTGTCATCCTACGCACTCTGGAGGCCGAGGCGGGCGGATCGCTTCGAGGTCAGGAGTTCGAAGCCAGCCTGAAGCAAGAGCCAGCGCGCCGTATTACAAAAACAGAAAGAATTAATTGGGCCAGCTAATATAACTCGAAAAATTAGCTGGGCATGGTTGGTGCACACTGTAGTCGCAAGCTACTCGGAGGCTGAGGAGCAGGATCGTTGAGCCCAGGGTCGAGGTTGCTGTGGCGAGCTGACGCCGACGACTACACTCTGCTGGGGCAACGAGTGGACAGCTCTGTCTCAAAAAAATTAAAGAAATAATAAAAGTGATATATCAAAGACTTAGCGGGGTGAGATGGCGCAATGCCTGTAGTCCCAGCTACTCGGGAGCTGAGGCAGAGGATCGCTTGAGCAGGACTTGGAGGTTGCTGTGAGCGGGCGACGCCACGCACTCACTCTAGCGCTGGGCACATAGCGAGACTCTGTCCTCCACACAACACGGACAAAATTTTCGCACGGTGATGGGCAAACGCAGGGCGACGCGAGTTGCCCTATGTAACTTATTCTCTTCAGTTGCAAAGAGGGTAACGGCGTGGGTAGGGGCGGCAGCGGAGGCTCGGAGGGCGCCAGGTGGCGTGACCCGCGTGGATTCCTTCTGGGAGGACGTTCTGTGCCCGAGCGCCCGAAAAACACTTCTCCTCGGGGAGGGGGGCGCGGCAGGGACCCGTCCCGGATTCTGCGGGGAGGGCGCCCCCGCCCCAGCGCACACGCGAGGGACCGGCTCGCGCAGCGCTGCGACGTCGCGCCCCGTCACCTGACGCGAGACCCGCGGCGAGCCCTCTGACCCTCGTTCCTTGACCACGCAAAGCCCTCTTTGTTCCGCGACTCCACAGGTCTGTTAGACACGAGCGCGGCGGGCGATTGTCCCCCCCCCCCACGCCTCTGCGTCGGTCTGCGACCCGCGGCTCCTCCTGGCCTGCTGGCAAGGGACGCTGCAGACGGCCCCCGAGGCCAGGGCCTCTCCACGTGAGCCTCCCGGGAGAACAGGAGACGCCGGGCGCCCCGGCCGCAGCCCGAGACTGGGCGGCAGGACGTCGCCGACGTGGCGCAAGAGGTGCGCGGGGAGGCACCCCCCCAGGGGCAGGGGAGGGCGGTTCCTTCTCGCCCGAACTCCCCCTCCCGAAGGTGGCGGGAGACAGCCCGCCGCGAACGGCGACGCGGGCATGGCACGAGCGCTGCCGCGGG